GCAAACTTGAAAATTAGGATTTCACTCCCATGCTGCTTACTGGCAATACTAGTTTGATTTATTTCTATAAAATATTCTTAAATTCAAACACTAATCGATTGCAACTGTCATGATATGAAATTGGTAGCATACTTAAATTTTTATAAAACAGTGATGACCTCAATCGATGAGACCGAGAGAACCGTTATCATAAATATTTTTTCAGGAGACGATAGCATTTTGATCGAAGAGTGCAGCCATAGAAACTGTTATTTCATTGAAGACTAGTATCGTTTTCGAGTTCCAATTTTTCAAAGTACGCGCGAGAAAGTGAAGGAGTTGGTGACACACTAAATGGGTCTTGTTTCCATGGCCAATGTATGTCCAGCGCAATCAAGAAGTTTTTGCAACACTAATCACTTTCTCAAACAAGATATGGAGTATCAGAAGCAATGGCCATCCTAGTAGCTCTTTAGAGTGCAGTCATGCTTTCACTTGCAAATATGCTTTTTATCTTTGTGGAACAGTTACAGGTAGTCTAGGAACATCTATTTGCTAGCGAAGGTTGCATCTGAATGTAAATATTCTATTAGGCAGACGGAAATTTTCCAGCTATTCATCTCAAATTTAGATGCCGATGAATGCAGAACAGCTCAGTCGTGGTCGGTGCACTGCCATTAGTTTGGGCCCAGGGCCGGTGCTTGTACCGGTCTCAAAACGGAACAAAGTCCTGAAACCTTTTGGAGACGAGCGTTGGTATACTTGATTTCACTGAAAATCCTGTGACCTCATTTATCCGTATGCTGTGACACCAGAGTGATATGAAGACACAAGAAGACGTTGCGTGCATGCCAATTCCTTCATTTCATTCAGGACAACCCACGGGCACCGACAACGCATGTAGAATAGCTCAGACGGGCATCTCGTGTGAGAATAAGTCTTCGCTTCATCAAACACTCTTCAAAATTACGACAAACTTCGATGCGGAAATGCTTTCTCATGCCAACCTAAAATGAATAAACTAAAATTTCTACCTAAATATCTGAACTACCATTCCGAGCTAAGATCACAGGAATAGGTTCGACAGCCGATGAGAAAAACACTAATGTACCTTAGGATAAGTTTAATTAAGACCGAAGTTGAGAATTTTTGTATGAAAATAAAAATGCTTAAAAAACGCGCATGCTTCTTTGCGTTCAAAACTCGAATAGATCAGACGCTGGACACCGATAAGGAAAATTGTCGCCAATCCCAGCTATAAAAATTTCATTAAATGCACGATATTATTTTATAACGAAATAGTGGACAGATGCATGTGATGCCATCGATAGCTAAACTAACGAAAAATAACGACTTTTAAGAGAAATTAAAATAGTTCGCAAGATAAGCATAAATCAACTGAAATTGTAAAAAGTTTTAGAAGAACTAGTTCGTCATCAAGGTGAACTTGAAACATTGAGTGGCCGGACGACGTCTCCAGCGTCGAGCACAGAAACTAAGGAGTCTAGCCCCGATATCTGAGAGTCGCGAAACTAGCGTGTGCGGCCAACGCCGCATTCCAAGTTTCCAACTAATGAGATATAAACATCAGTTAATTGTTGGTTCTAAGCAATAATACCAACCAATGAAATTATCCAGTAATATCAATGTGTTCAGTCAATCATCTTCTAAATATTCGAAGTAAAAAATAATTACCAACCAGAAAATGCTTAAAAACATCAAATGCTTAGACGTAGAAAATAAAATAGAAGATAAATAGGTTGATAAAATTTCTTGGAAGATGAAAATTACTAGTTAAGCATTATAAACTTTTTAAATGTTCGATTCTGATCATGCTCCTTAAGTCAGGATTTTTCCAGGTTTTGGCAAATGAGAGTTTTGACTACAATAATTCGAATTCTATTACCAACAGATTTTCGTTGTTTCTCCATGAAGTAAAATTCAATAACCTAAGTTACCAGATATTTTTCTAATTCAAGAGTTGGCAAAGTGTAGATGAAATAACTCCGATGGAACAATAACATCCTTCTCTATTATGATACATAGCTAAATACACGTTGAAAAATATTCAAAATATTTTTGAAAAGAATCAGACGAATGGTAAAGCATGGATACTCAAGTAACCATTGATCAAGTATGGGATAATTAAAGCAGTTTTATAGGAGAATTTCCCATGGGGGATGCGGCCTATGCTTTAAAAAAACTCAGCGTCCGTTTCAAAATTCGACCCTGCCGAGGTATCTTGCAGTAAGATTGCACGCAAAAGCAAGCAGAATAGGGAATGTGATCTGCCGTCACTGCTCTTCACTGGAGGTAGAAAACCTGTTCTTCGCCGCGACTCTCGCTAAGCATTTCACTAGCGTTCACGTAATAGTTGAAACCAACGCATTGGTCAATCAATTCTCGTTGCACTTCGACAACTGAACTCATCCATTTAAGGGTGAGATGGCCAACTTTTTTAACTGTGATTCAATATTTCAATAACAGCAAAGATCGCATAAAATCACTGCTGGTCGGATGCAGGTGAGACGAGAGAGGTCTCTTGGCTTGAGCCATCTAACACATGCAGCGCCTTATTTGCAGCGGCCGCATCCAGCTCTGCGTTTCAAATACCAGTTTTACTGATCGGTCTGCAGTTGTGTCCTGTGCATCTTAAAAAAGTGTTCCTCGGAGAAAACTTACGACAGCCCAATACCAAGAGATAAAATTCATTGCTGAACGTTCGTTCAACTTGGAGAAGCTAGGTACAGCTTCAACTTGAAAAACAAGCTGCGTATTGAAGAGCTCCCGCTCATGAGGTTAGCGTGGAACCATGGGGCGGCCGGTACGAGCTGCTACCGCCTTACAGAGTTACAGGGTAACGCTGCCTACACATTTCGCCTATATTGCTTACCTTCTTCAACATTAGAATGTTTAACGTAATTTCATGCATAACCCGATTTTGTCTGCCGTAGAACGATAAATGACATTGAACACGTCTCATCTAAGACGATTGATATTAGTCGGTAAAATACTTATAACCGGGAGCCGTCTGTCGCCCCGAAATGAATTTGAGCACTTCTCTGATAGTCACTTGACACTTGTTTCTAAAAAATCGTTGCTTCTGATTTTTTAAGTGAATTATTAAAGATTATAGATTTTTTTAATAGTGTTGGCTATATAGAACGTCTCATTGCCATCTTTTTTTTAAATGTTCAATTTTACCTCTAAACTTTTACCCACAGCGCCTTCAAATGGAATAAGAAAATTTTGTGCTCGTGAAAGAAATAATAGTTTTGTTTTTGTCGTTACGTAAACACAACTTACTTCTAGAAAAACAACTTTAATCAATGCAAGGATGACGCCATTAACAGAAATAAAAACAATTCAAAATTTGTGGGTGGCACTCACAATTTCCTGAGCCTCCACGTGCCTGTTCTCTGCCCCACCATTGGCGCGAGGCAGCAATCTTCGGTCTACTGATAATGATTTTTAACGTAGAATGAGAAGCTTGGTGAGAAAAGATGATGAAATGATAGTGTATGGAAATATAAGTGGAGATGTGCGCATGAAGATGTAAAAAAAATGGTAATTAAATCACCAGAGAATGTCAGAAAGAATCTGAATGCATTATCATAAATGAGGATACTTGGAATAATATTTCTAAATGCAACAAAGAAAGTAGTCAGGAGGCAAAAATTGAAATGTGCATTTTAACTTATATACCATAAAAATGTAGAGCACCAAGAGCATTTACCCTATATTAGAACCTGGAAAACTTGGAGTGTTGTACAAACTTTTCATGTACACTATAGGGATAACCAATAAGCTATTACTTATGATTAATATTTCATAGATATATTAATCTATAAACTCATAAAGTAATGTCAAAGATGAATTCATTGAACAGCAATGCATTTCGAGTAACCATGTGGTGCTATGTGGAACAACACGATCTTAACTACTTAAAAAACTGTACTAATTAACATAACTAAAACAGTTCCTCCGCAGATCCTTGAAAAAAATTGGTCCAGTATACATACAATCATCACAAGTTTGTCTCAGAGTCAGACCAGTCAAGTTATCGTTTCTTCGTTTGTTAGAGCAGGAAAAAACGAAGCCATTTAACAACTAGGTACTTTCTGAAAAAGGTTTACTATAGGGAACCCAAGTTAAGGATTTGCTTGAAAATCCCAACCAATATTATTATATAGAGAATTTTGGTAGCTAACTTAAGGGTGAACAAAAACACGATAATCAGGCACTTTCAGTAGCCCTGTGATCCAAATGCCAGCCGCCATCCAGTTTTTCTCTTCAGAAATGGTGGTACTGATCGACTGCACGCAGCTGCTGTTTAAATTGAAAGATTCTATTAATTAAATGAGAGTTGTGTTCACAATATTTACGGTTGGGAAATATGAGAAACAGAAATTTTCTGCCAATTTATTGGATATTAAGCTCACAATTCCATATTTGGAAACCAACAATGCAAGAAAATTTTAACACGTTCCTGTTTTTACAGAAGTAGATTCATTGCAAAATGATAAATGCCACAATGGCAGATTAGCATGGCATTCTGCTCACAAGAACGTCAATCATCGATTGCAGTTCTTTACAATGAAGCATGTCATTCGAAATGTGTAAGGCCAAAACACTGAGATTACTAACAAAAATCAAACCCTCTAGTTATTTCAAATTTCTCTGAAAAAGAGCATATACGATCATGTCAGGAGCTCTAGTGTCAAGGCTGATCGAACGAACAACAGGCCTTGAGAAGTGGCAGCGTCACGGGACGTCATGATTGTGTGACGTCATTGATTCGGTGTCGGCTCTAGAGTCAAAAGAGTAACTGCTCTTAAAATTCTGCTTCAAAGACATATGTAGACGTTTTATTCCCTGTTAGATGAAATTAAATCCAAAAATACAAAGCTGTTAGTTTGGAATACTCACATTTGAATTGAAAATTTAAGGCAGACCTATAGAAAATTTATTTAGTTCTTCAATGCTTGATCAACAGCAGCGGACCAGCGGCAGTCAGTTGCTCAAAATGGTAGGGATTGTGTGAGGGTGTGTAGTCCGTGCTGTGTGATACTATGTTTATATCCAACATTTTACAAGGTACGTGTTCTGTTTGAATGAATTTGTAAACTTTAAAGAATATTTAAGACTTTATCCGAAATGTGTTTTGCATTAATTCCCTTACCGTCATTCCATATCAGTCATTTCAATACTTTTGAAGCAATGATCGTTGTCGTTGTGTGGGGAAAAGGGCCGGCGCAATGCAAGCAGTTAGGTTGTTTTGCCTTACTGATGAGATTAGCAATAACATAGCTATCTAATCGTCATGTAGTTCTTTTAATTTGATATTTATTTATAATGAAATAGTAAAAAAGGATGTCACGCTTTCTTTTTTGGCTGTAAAACATTTTAAATGCAGTTTATGTTCGTCTGAAGTGGGATTTTTTATTAACCGCGCGGCGCGCGCGCAGTACCTACTGGGAAGACTTACTGCATCAATGATATCAATTGATCTCAACAGTTATTTCATTGTAGACATCATCAATATCAGCTGTTTTATACTGCTATTCTCTTAATTGGATGTAATAAATTTGTTGCACAAATGTTCAATGTTAATTAAAATTGGCCAATATAGGAGGAGGAGCTTGAACTTTAATAAATATTTCCTCTTCAATTTTTTTTGGACTTGGGAGCTTTGATGAAATCTGACCCGTTGCTGCCACTTGCTGGCACCATTTGCTTGCCATGTAAGGATGTTATTTGCTGCCTAGGCTTAGCTGATCCTGAAGATTGTTACCTTGACTACAATTTCTCATGAGCTAATGCACTAAGTGGCTGAGTAAGTGCAGACATGATGAACTTGGGATTTGGGAATACAGAATTGAGAATACAGATTACAGGACTTCTCAAAATCAAATGCTATCAGCTGGGCTGTTTACAAGCTAATTAAAAGATTTTTCGAAACAAAACTATCATTTTAAATTGATAAAGTAGTCCAGTGGTTGCTAATAAGAACCTATCAAAACCTTTGATTGATAATTAACTTTCTCATATCTAGAAAGATTGGTATGTAGCAATTAGCAATTAGCATGCTGCTAGTCTGGAAAAGTCCTATTTTTGTCTGAAATATCGCGGCTCTAATATCATATAATTTCAGTAGGTATGAAATGTCGCGGCTCGAATGTCATAAAAACAAATAAACAAAACGTTTGTTGAAGATCGCGCATAGTTGCGGTCATGTCAAAGCGGTCAGACTGTATATTAACACGTGCTGAACTTACAGTAGAGACAAATTTTATTGTTGCCGTTTGACTGTTTAGGGTAAAATTAGAGATTTAGGGTAACACGTGCATAAACTTTGTAAATAAATTCGCATTCGCACCTCGTAAATGGCTTTTCATGGCCGAGATATGGAATTCACGGCTCGGTGAAATAGAATCACGGCTCGTAGAAATGGAATCACGGCTGGCAAATCCATAAAACCACGGCTCGAAAAATTCAGTCGCGGCTCGCCAAGTAGATATATTCCATACTAGGCATGCTGCATGCACAGTGATTAATGGGATTGTTTAGGTTAAAATTTTGGTTTTTCTGTTTTATTGGTTCATTTTGTAGCTGCTGAAAAGTTGCGTCTAACGCAGCAATCTGGATACATGTGCGTGCTCTAGTTTTTTATATATCTAGTTTTATAATATATAAAATGAACATTTTTTAACAATATGTACAAAAATTTCTTCAAATTATATCTGAATTTATTGATCACTATGCTTGTTAAAGTGTTTGCACTCGTTTGACAGCTACAAACAAGGCGTGTTCAACAAAAACACTATCAGGGATGTACGTGCAATAGATTTGGCGTAAGGCTGTTTCAAACTTTCATAAAATGACCATTTTATATCAATATTTACAAAATTTTCATTCAAAAATAGTATTTATAGCTCATTATTTGCGTTAATTGCAAAGTGTTTGCACTCATTTTAAAGCTACAAACAAGATGCGCTCAACAAAGCTACTACCATGTATGTAAATGCTATATTTTTTGCATAACGCTGTTGTAAATTTATGTAAAATGAATATTTTATATATGCATATATACATAAAAAGTCCCGTTTATAGCTTATTATTCACGTTAAACTGGACATGAATAAGTCTAATTTTTTTAGACTTTTCCATAGATCTTGCATGAATGCTCCCTTCTCTAAATCTACTTGCACTTAGTTTTCAATGTTTAGGCCTGCATATCATAATACTAAAATAGAAGTGTTAAACTGACAGGTACAAGTTGGAATGCATGGCCTCCTAGGAAACAAAATTTGAGCAATCAATGTTCTCCATCCTTCCAGTCATTAAATCCATACAATAGTGCACTATTGTGCTTAAGTGTACAAAATTGACTTGAGATCCTGTGATATGGCATAGAATTTTTTTTTCAAGTTTCATTCTTGTGTGAAAAAATACTTGTACCTAATGAAAGGCCAATTCTTATGGTCTCTTTTTATTTCTCATTTTATTAACAAATGCAGAATTATATATATACACATATTCCTTTACAATGATATCATTATTATTGACTTGGAAAGAAACATAGCCATAATTTACCATTTTTAAAACCAGAATTAGGTATTAGACCCAGCATCCCTGCCTCCTGCACCCAACAGTCTCCATCTCAGCATTGTCTTGGCAACCATCATACACATATTGATATTAATATGTTTTAATAGCTTTCACTGCCAAAAGTAGTTTATTATATTATTGATTAGAAGGGAGGACTTGAGAGTAAAGTTTATTCAATCACACACATTCTTAAGAAAAACAGTAAAAAAAGACATAAGATTATACAAAAAAATCTAAGGAAAACAGTGTTTGTCTCAATTCTTACCTGACTCACAATATAAATATATACCTATGTCAAGTTCTTCAATTCATGCAAAATAGATATTCAGTAAAAACTTAAAAGCAAGGAAAATTCCACAAAATTTTGTACTGTTATTATAGAAAATGTTCTGGGCCCATATTTTCAAAAAAAGTTAAGAGATCGTAAGTTCAACAGCCAATCATTGACTGCCTTTTAAGCAAAATCCACCAATCATAGAGAAGAAAATAGAGCGTAAGTACTTACGTTCACTTAGCAAGTTTTGAAAGTATGGCCCCTGGAGTCCAGCTCCTTCGTCAGTTCAAAAATTCTAGAACAAAGGTAAATCAGTGATTAGTACAGCCAAAACATTTTCTATACAGACAGTATGAATTTTTTTGGAATTTTCTTTGCTTTTAAGTTTCTAGGGAATTTGCGATTCAAGCAAATGAGTGACATTACTACATAGATATTCAACTTGTATCAGATATTGATGCTAAAGTACAGATCTCGTTAAGTTGCAAATAAGCTCTGAGATCTGCCTTTGAACTAGATGAAATAGAATTTATAGAAAGCTCAAGGGTTTTGAATCAACCATTGCTGAGTCAAATGCACCTTGACAATTGTTTGGAGATTTATCTGGCTATGTATGACGAACCATCAGAGGTTTTTTGGAAGAATAGATATTTTAATTATGATCTGTCCTAATTTAGAAAATGTTATTGCAATGAACAATTTACAGATAGACATTTGGGTATCCCTGATGTACTTGTTAATGACTACCATTCAATGTTGCATGAAGCCTCTCTGGAGCTTCTGTACCAAATATGACATATTTTCAGCATTGACCTTTCATTCTTACTTATTTGGAAATCATAAGGGGGAGTGATTATTTTTTTCCTGATACTCAGCTGGTCATATTATCTGGCCTCTAACATGACATTTGGATTATGAAGCAGCTGTATATGTTTTTAACAATTTGGAAGTAATAAATGGCTGATCCAATTAACCAGTTGCCAAATTACCTAGAAATGACAATTCCCAATAATAGTCTGATGAATGCATTGTTCAGTGGCTTGCATATTTTTCTTGTTGAACCAAACGTTGTTTTGAATAAGATTTAAAGCTTATTTTAGAAACAATTTGGCTTTGAGGTATTTGCTGAAAAAAGGCATTTATTTCACAGCGAATTTAGTATTGTAGTACAGCAGTACCTCGATTTTTTTAAACCAAATCTGAGTCAACTAAATCTGTATTTGACCAAAAATGTTGAGAGTTCTTTGACTGGAAGGTCGCATTTGTGTATGTGTTTTGAAGAAATGATTGCGAAGTGCGCTACCAATCGATGAGTATATCTTGTATCAGCACGCGCCGTGCATCGCGTGGTCGTCACTATTGAAAGCCTCGACTTATCATGAACGGCCGAGTATCAGACGATGGTAGAGTGACCTGGCGATCCCTACATGCTTGCCAAATTGATCAAACGTGACTTGAAAATTAATGCTCGTAGAATTCGTTTGATGACGAAGTCAGTAGAAATGTAGCTCATATTAAGACCACGCTTGCGAATCATCGGGAAATTACTCAAGAGATCACGACAAATAATTTGCATACATAAAAAGCAACTTTACAGCTCCTCTCCTAGTGATAGAATGAAGTGCAGTGCATGTGTAGGTGCGTGCATGTCCTGTACCATCACGCCGTCCCTTCTGGGAAGGCCGCTATCACTGATGACATTCTTTCGTATTTACTTTGCTTGTGGTATGTCACAGGGTACTGCTTACTTTCTTGTAGCTGCAAATAAATTGATTTTTACAGAAGCAGGAAATTTTTGAAGGGCGCGACGTGTGTTTCAAACTATTTATTTGATCACCAACATTTTTTTCTTTCATACTCGCCGGCTTTTCATGCGTCACGTATCGACAACGCCTCTTTGTTTTCCGACTCAAGACCACCAAACCATCGTTGTGCCGAAGACGGCCACCAAAGTCCTCAAATTAAAATGTAATATACTACGAGATTTGTGTTTCACGAAAACTTGCAAGAACGTGTATCAGAGAAAGCGCCGTTCCATTAGGAAAACATTTTTGCACCAACTTCTTTCCTAATCGTCTACGTTTTGAACTACGCCATCCCATGCTACCAGACTATGGTTTATTCTGGTATATATAATTGGTCTTTGAATGAAGATTTCGTGGCGGTCAAAGCACATGCTCGAGACTAGATCTGTCGTTGACAAGGATAGGTA